GAAGGGTCCTCGGATGCAGCCCCCTGCGAGAAGCGGGAGTGGTCTGCTTTGTCGACAACGATGGCGTGTTTCAGAGGTTGCAAGAGCACAAAGAGTGGGTTCATGAACTGCTTGAAAGCACGCATGAGGTTTGAATCATTTGCAGCAAGAAGGGTCTCAAACGGTGTCGAGCACGCGAACATGCTCGAGGGCGACGAAGGGTGGTTCGGACGGAGGTTGGACCTCTGTTCTTATCAGTGTTACAACTTCTTGATGCTTCGCATAAAGATGCGCACGACGCCCTGCTGCTTGGAGTAAAAACAAGGGTCCGTTCTCTGTCTGCTTGAGTGATTGCGAATTTTATCACATGGATTCATTTGTGAACGAATATATTATGATTGTTGCGAGTTTCCTTATGCGGATTTTGCATGAAACGGTGTGCGAAACTTTTGAAAAAAAGGATTTCGCTTTGCTCGAAACTGCCAAACAATACCAAGCTCCATTAAGGCAGTCTCGAAATTCGACATCTCGACACCATGAGACCGGAGTTGACTCAAAGGTTTGTGCAAGTAGAAATAACCGGTTGTGGCTTTTCTAAGTTTGCAACCATCTCGTGACACATGTTGCAAAAGAGTTTCCACTCTCCGGCTTCCAGGTTCAAGACGCTCCCCCAAGTGGCCAGGACAGCAACTGGGTGAAAGAAGATGAAGCAGCAAAAGTCAATTGCAGCAAAGATAAATCTTGCACTTGGTTTCGATGCCTTTAATTTTGGTTCTTGCAGCTGCCCAAATTTGAGCTATGGCTTCATCCTACCGAATTGCTGTGGGCGCATCGATTGGTTTGGATCCATGGGGGGGCACTTGCAAGAAACATTCTGTGTTTTGAAAGTCATTGTTTGTTGATTGCTGTTCTGTGGTTCAGGAGTCTCACGCAGAGACGGTTCGACCTGGGTGAGGCCAGAAAGACAAGAGCATACAAGAGCCGTTTGTGTTTTTCCAATTTTGGCGATTTTACAAGTCAGTTCCAGGTCATTACCCGTAGTTTTTTGTTTTGGTTTTTTGGTTTGCGTTCCTCTGTAATGATGCAAATGCTTGATAGCTTTTGGTTTTTTCATGTTCAAGTATTGGGGTACCTCCCACAGGGGATGGTCAGGGTGATTAGCGGGATGATTGGCTTGTGGTGGCCAGCGAGCAAAATGTCAGAGATGCTTGGATGAGCATCGGGGAACGAGTCTCGGCCCGTGTCACTTTGACTGCTCCAGCTTCTGACCTCAAACAAGGCAGACCGACACATTGGGCCAAGGGGACGGCAAGCCATGGAATTCCCAGAGTGCATCACGGACTTTCATGTGGGTCTTTTCCTCAGGTCACCCTTCCTTGCCTTTGCAGTGCTCAACAAGAGCTGTCCGCCCCTTTCCACGGACAGCTTCATCGGAAGCTGCAACAAAGCAATCTCTGCTGAGGTATTGCAGCATGTTTGCCATTCACAGAAATGCCTAGATTTGGGCGAGCTGGACCCAACGTCGGCCACCAAGACTGTGGTCTCTGCCATCTCGGACGAAAGTGCTGACATCATCTTGGGCCCCCGTTGTCGGTGGACTGATGGGGTGATGACCTTTGAGGGATCTGTGGATGCTTTGTTTCGACAGGGCAAACGTGGCTATGTCCTCAAGGTGGTCTCCACCGGAGAAGTCGTGCCTCCGCAGTGCATCACCAGAGCTGCTTTCTTTCATCACTTGCTGTCGAAGCACCTTGGGTCTACGAACAAGTTGGAGCAAGAGGTTCACATACTTCGAGGTGATGGTCATGAAGAAGTGCTGAACATTGCGAAGTATCTGAGTTGTTGGAGTCGCAGCGTGCCAGCTTTGTAAAGTTCTTGAGACTTGGCTGTTTACAGGCTTTGGGTCTACAGGCGGATGGTGGCGGCGGGGTGTCGCTGGCTTAGGCCAGCAAGAGGGATCATGGGTGCACTGTTTTGCTACTGTCGCTCCCGGCAGCCCCGGACCATTCCTCATTCTTCCCACTTTCTCCCCACTGAGAGCAGCATGCCGACCCCTAGGAAACAACAGCAGCCGCCGGAGCCCACTTCTAACGATCTTCGCTCCCGGCCGGAGCATGCGGAATTGGCGAGGAGGCCGTGAGAGCGCTTGTGGCTGGAGCTTGGTGGGTTGCGGTTTCTTATGGATGGATGCGTGTCTGTGCAGGGTCTACTTAGGGTTTGAGTCGTTGTTGTGTATCGTTGGTGTTTGTACTTTCTTGGGGATGGTGCCAGGGCTCATGTCAAGGAAGCTGCCTGAGGCTGCGCATAAACCCATGCTTTGCCTTGTTTCCAACATCGTAAGAGTCGCAGCAGAAGGCAAGCTCGCTCGTGCTTTGCGGATCCACGCGGCTGCTTGAGTTGGACAGCCTGCTCCTGATCCCGAGCATGTCGCCGTCCCTCCAGCGCATGCTTAGCGGGGCCCACAGTTTTGCAACGTGTGTGCCGACCCTACACAGATCCTGTCTCAGCAGCATGATCTCCGTGCCCTATCCTATATTGAGATGGCCGAAGGAGATAGAATAGATTGAAGCGACTGCACAGCCACACGCAACCCACCAAGAACGTGCCGGTATCGAGACGCTGAGCAAGCTCTGCGAAGCCTCCGGCGTGAAGAAGCTGCCCCAAGCGGCCGCGTGACTAAAGTCTAGCTCTTCGAATGCTTTGATTGATCATTGATTGCTTGCCTGCTTGCTTGCTTGCTTGATTGATTGATTGATTTATTGATTGATTGACTGATCGATCGATTGATTGATTTATTGTGGCTCGGGCGGGATTCAGGAGTTCAATGTGGAGTGAAATCACGAAGCATGCCTGGAGTGCGACAGGTCTTCCATCAGCTTCGTCGGCATGCGCGGCATCAGAGGGGTGACATTGAGATTGACGGGGCTTTCGTGCGGAAGGGACGGGAGTCTGGCATCGCGCTTGATGTGGTCGAAGGCGACTGGCCCTTCCAATTCTTTGGGAGACGGGCCCAATGAAGTCTGTTACGATGCATGTTCCTTTTCGTTTCGAGAGCATGTTCTGCAGCGGCTTGTGCAGGTAGCTCTCCGCTTGAGAATGTTTTCTTGATCGTCCAAAGTGGGCAAGAGAGCATCCGTGAGTTGGCAGCAACCTCGGCGGATCTTGAGCAGCTGACACACATGGCCAACATGCCAGAGGTGTACTTCTTTGGTCAGCGGGTTTGGGAGAACATCCTGCTCTCCTGCCTAGCAGTGGAGAGGGCAGATCTTGCCTCCAAAGTGGTGGAGCGCATCTACTGTGAGCCTGCATGGATTGACGTTCAGGCACGGCTGAAAAGCATCTGCATGAGCGACTCGATACAGGCGCACAGCCAAACAGTATCCCCCCCACTGGAGCCCGGTAATCTTGTAACTGAAGCTTGAAGCAGCTGCAAGCATCTGTTGTTTCTGTCGAGTTTCTGTCGATCGTATTTTCCACGACTGGCTCTTTGCAGGACATGCTGAGGAAGCTTGCCGGAGGATTAGGGCAGGATGAAAGTTTCCAGCTCCCGAAGCTGATGGAGATGAGCAGATGCCAAGTCTTGGCGCAGGCGAAGCAACGAGAGGCAAAGCAGCGCTTCAGCACTTTGGCCAAAGCCAAGATTGGAGCTCTGCAGCAGCTGGCGGCTTTTGCACAGGGCCAGCCGCGGGACGAGCCGACCTTCGGAGTTCGCGACGTCTTGATCCGCGACCTGTTATCTCTCTGCCGAAGCTTCGGGGGCAGGGCGCAAAATCTGGGAGGTTGGCCGCAAGAAGTCTGGCAAACCGCCAGGAAGTGGCCATCCTACTACAAGCACGACCTCTTCTGGGGATTGATCGATGCCATTGAGTTGTTCAAGGCCCCTGCTCACTCTTGGACGGCGCACACCCTGTGTTTGTCGCACTTGGTTCGCGCTTTGCCTGCATGCTACGAGCCAATCTGTGTAGATCCTGCGCTGCTTGCTACTGAGCAGTGAAGAGAGACTTGTAAGGTGTGGAAGACAATCCTCAAATTAAGCAGTACGTGGACCGGGAGTTCACAGTGGAGGAGGTGGAGCTTACCTACACCTGGGATGTGGACCAGGAAACCAGCATCAAGGAGAAGGATGAGGTTTTGGTGCGTGGTAGCCCCAGCATGCGGGGCAAAGTGAAGACCATGATCCATGCTGGCACGGGACGACAGTCCAAGATCGTCCTAGTTTTTGACACCCGCTTTGGCAAGAACCCCAATTTGCACAAGTTGGTGGGTCCAGACTACAGGGAGATCTGTGCCATGCAAGCAAAGTTTAGCATTCAGAATGGGGAGAACATCATGACGAGGGCAGTGGAGCAACAGATTTCCGAGGTGACTAAACAAACCTGGTCCAATGTGCAACAGAGCTTTCGCAGCTTCCTGATGAAAACACCCCGTGCAGATCCCGTCAGCGCCTCTCGTGCCGAAGAGGTCGTTCGCTCCATGGACAGCCAGTACCTCGTAATCCAGGGACCCCCTGGTACCTTGGAGCTCAAGTCATGAGAAGTCTGTCTTCCCTCCTAAACCCTCAAGCCCCAAGCCCTATGCCACCTATACCACAGGTACAGGCAAGACCTTCACCTCGGCTCAAATCATTTCCAGTATTCTCCTCGCCGAGCCGAATTCCCAGATTTTGGTGTCCTCCAACAGCCACAAAGCCATTCGGAACCTTTTGACAGCTGTGGCCAATCTGGGAGTGAACCAAGTGGGAAAGGTCATGAGCCAAGACGAGACGGAGCAGGAGATTCGGGGCGAGGGCTGTGTGCCCGTGGCCAATGGGAGGTTCATCAGTGCCCGGGTTCGCAAGCTGCGTGTGTTGTGCTCCTGAGGTCAGAGGGAGGTCAGAGGGCACTCCCAAAGACCCCTAACCCAACCAGGGCCAACAATCTAATCCGTCTTCCATTTTTCCTGAGGCCTGCCCTTTGGCTGCAGGGTTGCGGGTGGAACGGCGTCGCAGCTCATGAAGCTGGGTGGCTCTTTTGACTATCTCTTTGTCGATGAGGCCGGGCAGGTGACTCTGGAACTGCTGGCCGTGCTTGGCGGCTTGGCCCAGAACCTGGTGCTGGCACCTCGGCTCCAGACCGGTTAGGGTTTAGGGTTTGTCACTTGCCATCCTAGGCCCTAAACGCTGAACCCTTGAGGTTTACTACTAGGATTTTGCAGGGTTTAAGGCTGCATGGTGTAGGATTTAGGGGTTTGTTCCTTGTCAGAAGCCTTCCCTTTGACTGAAGCTGCAGCCATTCCTGTCTCGTCGGTTCGCTCATGGGTAGAACTCATGGCATCTACCAGTCGTTGTGATATTCAGATCAAACAAGATACTAAATTCTGTGTAGTCTAGTCGAATGCATTCCATGGGTTTTAGCGTTTGCTTTTTTTTTGGGGGGGGGGGGGCGGGCCGTTTTCATTTGGCTCCCCTTGAGGTTGGAGACCAACAACAGCTGCCTCCGCCTGTCCAAGATCGGCTGAAGTTGACGAAAGCGGGTGGCATGAGCTGCTTGGAGTATGTCACCGAAGGAGCCCTCAGCTCTAGGCCGTAAATCACCCTAAACCCTAAACTCTCAACTCCNNCTCAACTCCAAACCCTAAACCCCACTACAGGAGCCTTGAGAACCCTATAGACCCTTAAGCTCGACACGGAAGCCCCACCTCTTCCCGGGCTCGTTTCGCAGGAGAGGCGATCATAAGCCCCTACCGCGGCATCTTCTTATCCCGCACTTACAGGATGAGTGATCGCTTGACAGAGGCAGGGGTGCTGCTAAAGGAATCTGAAGTTGGGTGCTTAAAGAACCCGAATCATGGTCATGGTCTTGAGAAGCGGAGCCCTGCGAGCTGTGATCGTATAAGTTTCCACCCGTGTGAATCGACTCTTACAGTTTTTTGGGCCAGGTCGTTTCCCGAAACTTTTACGCCGGCGGCCTTGAAGCAGCTCCCCGGAACGCAGGCAACCGCCTGATCCTGGCCCCAGGCCGGGGCTCCTCGTTCGCCCTCCCTCTCTCTCCGCTCGTTGTCTGTGTCTCTGTCTCTTTCTTCGTCGCTTCTTTCTCTTTCTCCTTCTCTGCCTCTCTCCCTCTCTCCCTCNNCTCTCTCTCACACACACACACACGCAGAGACGGCTTCTTGTTCGCGTTCGTTCCGTCGCGCAGTCCAGCTTGGCCCGGGTACCAGGCTTGCTGACCGTGGACACGGGAGCGGAGTTCGTGCAAGTACCGCACGAGAACAACTTCCAGTCATCGGAGGAACCTGGGGCTCTCAGAGGCGTAAGAAGAGGTTTTAGGGTTTGGGAGTTGGGCTCAGTGTGAGGGTCGCGCAGGAAGCCCTTTAAAGGAATCCTTTAGGGCTGCATCTCAGAGCATGGCCAGGAGGAGTGTCAAGTGGTGCAGCAGATACTTCGCCAGCTGCTCGAAAGCCAGGCCGGACCGACAGGTTCTCCACTTACTGACTGCTGCACTTTGGAAACTTTCCGGCCCAGAAAAAAAAGAGCAAACCAGCCTCTACTCCGCAAAAATCCAAACTCTCAAGCCCTGAGGCACATCGCCTAGTCTCTTCAAGGGTTGCTCGGAGGTGGTTCTCGACGACCACGACCCGCGGAGCCTGAAGCCGGAAGACGTCATCATCGTTTGCCCCTACAATGCGCAGGTGGTGATGGTCAGGCCGGGAGCCACCCCAACAGCAAAGCAGCGGTGGGCCTCGACTGTAAAGCCAATTTAGCCAAGATTTCGGCTTTCGGTCCGTCTCCGAGAATTTGGAAGCCTCTCCGACTAGTCATCGCATGATTGAGAGTTAAAGCGACCCCCGGAGCTTCCTTAAACTATAAGTTTAAAGTTCCGGCCATTTCAATATCCAACCTGCAAACGAGCCAGCCTGCAGTAGAAACCCTAAACGCCAAACCACGCGAAACCCTACACCGGTTTAGGGTTGAAGCCTAAACCGAAAACCCTAAATCC